CCTTTGCTTGGAAGAATCAGAGGTTAAGTGTCAAAATTTCCCTCCCAAAATTTGGTGGTTTTTTTCTGTCTAGCCTTTTCAGCGTAATGTGTGTTGATGTATAGTCAAATAATCAGAGAACTTATAAATAGATACTTGTTAAATATAAAAAGTATAAATCAACTTAAAAAAAACAACTGGGTATTCTCAGTATGTCAACCAACTCACAGAATTACACAACAGCCATGGTCACAACTGAAATTCTGGCAATTAATAACCACACTTGCTGGAGGAAGATCAGATTGAGGATTGACCAAGCTGTATATAAAATAGTTTTCTCTTAATTTCCTGAATTTACCAGTATTAAAAGTCTCCTAAATGAAATTTAGTTGGTTGGTTCTATTAAAGGTAAAGGTCCCCCTGCACATGTGTGCTATTCATTTCCGGCTCTAGGGGCAGTGCTTATCTCCGTTTCTAAGCCAAAGAGCCAATACTGTCCGAAGACGTCTCCATGGTCATATGGCTGGCATGACTCAACGCCAAAGGAGCATGGAGCACTATTACCGTATTTTTTGGAGTATAAGATGCACTGGATTATAAGACACACCGAGATTTTGAAGAGGCAAATTTTTTAAAAAAGGTTTTGCACTCTGCAGACCTCCCAAAAATGGCCTATGCCTTGTTTTTTGCAAAACACACAAAAAAGGTCATGCATAGCGTTTAGGAGGCTTATAGAGTGCTCCTGGGGGCTGGGGGGGCAAAAATGAGCAAAAATGGCCCATTTTGTGCTCATTTTTGCCCTCCCCAGCCCCCAGGAGCACTCTGGAAGCCTCCTAAAGGCTATGCATTTTGGTGAAGGGGTGGGGTTTCGGGGGTGGGAAAGCTGTATTCAGTGTATAAGGCACACCCAGATTTTCAGCCTCTTTTTTGAGGGAAAAAGTGCGTCTTATACTCCAAAAAATATGGTACCTTCCCACCAAAATGGTCCCTATTTTTCTACTTGCATTTTTATATGCTTTCAGACTGCTAGGTTGGCAGAAGCTGGGACAAGTAACGGGAGCTCACTCCATTACACGGCGCTAGAGATTCAAACCGCTGAACTGCTGATCTTCTGATTCACAAGCTCAGCACTTTAGCCACTGAGCCACTGTGTTCCTTTTATATTATTACTGTACTATTATTATTTTTATTGTAACCGTAAACCCTTCTTTAGAAAAATGAAAATTTCCCTGGAGTTTCCAAACTGTTTAGAGATTCAGTATGAAGATCCTCAATTTATAATCATAGGACCACTTTCCTGGAACCTTCCTCATGTGGAACAGTATCTTCTTTGGTAGGATCTGGAGTATACATAAATTCATAGGCTGATCTAATTTTTGCATCTCTTTCTCTTAAAGGAAGGCCTTGAATGCTTTTAGAAAACTCAATATAGGTCAAACTTTGTGGTTTAAAATCTATTCCATTGTGATCCACTTTATGTACTTTAATAGATTTCTCCCCATCAGCATCAGTAAGCTAAGTGCTATTACAGAGCCAATCTTTTGCTTTCATTTTCTTGTAACTTGCAGTTAAATGGAGTTTACTCCTTTGGAAAACTATAGATTATTTATAGTCACTAAAGAAGAGGCACAAATGCTGGCTTGCTACTGTGGTTGCTTTTAAAGGCTTTTTATTGATTTATGGTTTGCTCAATTTTTCCTGCTACGCCCTGAACACTAAATCAAATGTTGTTCTAGTCTCTCAGAGGTGTTTGTTTTGCTAGATGATATTGAAGACAGGCATCAGGTACCGTACCTGGTAAACTAGAAGGAATAGGACAAAAATCTACAACTTGCAAATAAGTCTACAGATTGTTTTAAACCCACCTGCCCTCACAAATCTCCATTGTTTATTTTGGTGCAGTTTTTTAAAAGAAATATCTGCCAGTTTCAAGAGTTTTCTTCCTCTGTTCGTTGCCTACAGCTGAATTGATACCATAAGTGAAAGATTAAGAGATTATTCACAAGCCTGGGCAAGAATACTTGACTTAAATGGGCGTAACAAATATGAGCACATTTTTACAATGTTTTGACCTCTGCACGGTACTTGCTTCCTGTCCATTTCTGACCCAACTAAGAATACTGATACTGAAGCATTAGGTCTGCTTTAAAGAATTGTGCTTTAGAGCCATCTTCTCAAGCCATTATGTGGTTCTCCTTCTTAGTTATGTGTCCTTATGTGATAGAAGAGCTCCTAGATAAGGATTTCTCTTCTGTAAGACGTGGCATTTTGCAAATGATTTGGAAGAAGTTTTTGCATCAGCAAAGCACCTCTGCAGTTCAGACTCACCAAGTGAGAAGAAATAAGTTACTTTGAACTGGTCCCTGGTGCCCAAAAGATTGGGGGGGGGCACTGGGCTAGGGACTTCCAGCAAAGCAGTTTTATGTTTCTAGGTAATAAAGATCATGGAATACCAATCCGATGAATATGGGCATTGCAATCAGTGCTGTAAATAAATGTAGAGCAAAATAATGAATTTGTAACAACAGTTCCTCCAGCTTCATTGCTGCTGTGGCAGCACCACTGCAAGCTACCAACAACTGATTGGTGTGCCAGCTGTGGTCTCAATTCCTGATAATTTAACAATCAGCTCTTCCTATGAGTGGATATGAGCAGGCTCCAGCGTACCACTGTATGCAATCCAGCAGCAACTGTTGTATAAGAGTTGATTTCACAAAGAGCTGCTTTGAGAAAGTAGATGTTCTGCTTTACCATGGAAAATAGCAACACAAGCCATTTATAAATATAAAGTTTATTCAGAATATATTGTTTAGAAAAATAAGTTCACATTTCAGAATACAAACAAACAAAAACACAATTTTCCAGGCACAAACCTCTACACCAATGTTTCTCAACTGTGACAACTTGAAGATATGTGTTCTTCAACGCCAGGCACATCTTAAAGTTGCAAAGATTGAGACACACACTGCTCTATTCAGTACAACATACATACATATTTTCCAATCTCTTTGGTTTGGGAGCAAAGCACAATCTCTCCAGAAATGCAATGCATCCTTCCTTAACAGTGCAGCAACACGCTTGCCTCCTAACATCTACATTCCATGTAATTTTCTTCTTTTGTCATAAGGCACAATCAAAACCATATTGATTTATCAAAATAAGTTTTGTTCCAGACGTACAATTGTGGGCAACAAATGGACACGGTCCAAGCTGACTGAAATATTCACATGCTTTCCTTTCTTGATTAAGTTGAAAAGTATAAAATTAAGTTATTAAAATATTACAAGAAATTTAGAAAACATGTCAATCTATCCTTTTAAGATATGACTGCTGAGTGATAAACTGCAGAAACAGCTTAGGCATAGTTCAAAACCTTTACTACCTCTAGTAACATGCATTCCCCTGATAACAGGAAAGAAAGGCTGCTTTATTCCTCCCACAGACAGATTCTTGCTTATTTGTATTTAGTTGGACAATAGCCATTTACTGAAGGCTGGTTACTATGAGATATATATAATGATCAAAGGATAACTTAACATTCTTCGCTAGCAAACCACATTAAACTGAAGGGAGCTGAGTAGGATTCCATAGACTTTACACTGGGCCCACAACTGTTCAATACTTGTATGAATGACTTGGATGATGAGATGATGGTGCTTGTTAAATTTGTAAATGACACAACAGTAAGTTGTAGAAAAAAGTTAATATACTCTCAAAAAAACCCTAAATTTCAAAATAATCTGAAGAAGTTAGAGAAACGGGCTGAAAACAAAGAATGAAATGTAACAGAAGCAAAGACAAAAGCAGAAAATCAAATGTGTAGTATTGGCAATATTTGTGGGGGAAAACCTTGGAATTACAATTGATAAACACTGAGACAATTGTCTGATATTACTGCAAAGAAGACAAAAGGCCCTTGTAGGTTGAATCAAAAGAAGAAAGTTTCCAAATTAAGAGCTGACAGTTTCTCTCTATTTTGCATTGGTTAAGCTACATCTTAAATAATGTTTTCCAGTTCTGGGCACCACACTTTATAAATGATTTAGATAAACTGAAACAGATTTAGAGAAAGGCACTAAGGAAGATCAGGGAATTAGCAATTTACTGAACATATTAAACTTGCATTCTGTTTTCATAGTAGGAAAAATATTGATTCCCATGATCAAGAAAGGATTAGTTAAAGCAGAGGCTGAATAGACATTAGGGATATTTTAATCTGAGTCTCTGTACTAAACATAGGATTGGATTTGATGACCCAAATGGCTCCTTCCAATTCTATTGTTGCAGAATTCTAACATTTTTCTTTCTTTCTTTTTTATTTGGGCAAAATATGACATAGAAAATAAATTACACAATAAAGTAACTCAACTGTTTTCGCTGTCAATATAGGCCTGACAAAATGTTGTGACTATTCAGGTGTTAGGTTTTCACTCCTTAAAAAGTGTCATCTTTTATTCAGCCTTACCTGGAAGGCTGGAAAAGAAGTAAGACTGCTTTAATGAGTAGCCAAGATCCGCTATGCTTGTGAGAGTTGTGAAACGCTTCTTCCAAGTAATTTTTGATGACCATGACATTGTATGGGATTGTAGCTTGAATGGGAATTAAAATATTACATTTTAATATGATACACTAATAAAAAATATCTAGATTTTAATGAATGGAATCTAGATCAATTTGCATTATTGCAAATATCTCAACATTAATCAGTATTCATATGTCAACTTATACTGGAGAAAATTTGGAACAAAATATCATTCAAAGCTCAATTTCTGTCATGTCACCAAATTCCTTGCAGTTTCTTGTATAGTACAGATAGATTTAGGCCAGTGGTGGGTTCTGGATCGTGTTGCAACCGGTACGGGCCTGGTGTGTACCACATGAACGCGTGTGCATGTGTACATACCTCCTGTGACGTGTCCGTGACACTCCAGCTGCTTGGCGGAGTGTCGTGCAGGTGCCATATGCTCCGTGCGCATAAGCGCCAAAGAGCTCAAATACAGGTAATGAGCTTGGGTGGGCCTTATGGAGCACCGTACCAGAACAGTACCTGGTGCTCCGGGCAGGCACCAATACACCCATACCGGGGCGTACCGCCTCCACCCCTCCACTGACTTAGGTGCCCATCAACATGTAAAAAGAATGAATGGGTTTTCTAACTGTTAGAACTGATTCTCAACCTGTAGTCCAAGAACCCCTGGGGGCTGCAATGTTGTCACAGGCGGTCCACAAAGGTATGAAGAAATGTGATTTAAATCAGGTCTTGGAGGTCTGTGGTCACAAAAGATATTTAAAGGGGGCCTACAGTGAAGAAAAGGTTGGGAACCACTGGGTTAGATGAGGGGATGTTCACTTTTAGATACGTAATTGTTACAAACAGAAACCCAGCCGTAACTATAAAAAGCAGTCAAAAGGATTTAGTGTTTATCCTGGAACAAAGTAGTGTGCATGGCTGAAACCAAGACATTTATCATTTACCACAGAGTCTTTTTGCATAGCCACCATGATCAACTCCAAACTATCACAAACCATTTCATAGAGCCCTGTGATTTTTCTCGGTTGAACAGCTCTTGTATCCCCTTCAGCTAAGTAACTGGGGAATGCAGAAACATACTTCTTGACTAGTTTTCTAATTTCACAAGTATGTGTTCATAAATTGTTTTTTTAAAGTGACCAACTACCATGAAGAGTGGTGGTTGCACAGTTGTCACCCTTCTCTCATGTTACAAAGACAGGAAAACAAAGCGGTGGCCTGATGCCTTCTTAACCTCAGATGGGAAAGGAAGAGAGCTGGGACAAGGCAAGTATATCTGCAGTGCTACTGCTGAACCAGAAGCTCTTCAGCCCAACAGTATTGACAACAGCATGCGACCACATAGGTGGGTAGACGTGGTGGAAATGCCACATTTAGAAAGGACCCTAGTGGTCTTGAAACTGGATCCTCTGTTTTTTCAAGACAATTATTTCAAGTTGGGAATTCCACACCTCTTTTTTAAATCATAGTTTCTAGGAAGCATTCGTGGCAATTGGAAAGTGCATACAGATTTCTGAGATGAAACATACATCTTGTGGGCAACACCCCATCCCCCACATTTTGTACAGTGAAGGGGCTTGCTACCTAACACTTTTTCCCACTTCAAAAATGATTGTGGGAATCAGCAATTCATAAGTCTGATTTTCCTTTAAACAGATTCCTTTACATCTTGGGAAGCTGTACCTATTTCTGAACAGGAAGTGCTGCTAAAGTAGAAAGGACAATCTTTCTGAATTACAGGCGTATGACTTTCACCATTTTACTATGCAGTTTTCTATATCACTAGAGAAATAATGTTAATCACTTTAAAATAAACTTACAGTACAGTCTAAACTAGACAACAACTTTGATACTGTACTTACAAGTTTACTGAAATTACAAAATTGCATTAATTTAGATCACATACCAAAGGACAACTTACTCCTCTCAGAACAGATGATCAATTAACTACTTGGATCAGCCTTTCTCTGGTAGTAGAGCAATTATATCTACCATAACCCCCCCCCCTTTTTTTTCAGCTATTGTCTCAAATAAAAGTATCCAGAGATGCTTTTCTCCAGAGTCAGGACAATCTTGCGTGCAACCACTTAACCTGCTGTTTTGTTCATTCAAAATGGACCTCTACATTTCAGCAACTTAAACAGAGCATTTATATGTGCAGCATGTGATACAGCTTCTTTTAGAATGTAGATTATACCATTTTCTGTTTGAAAACTAGATATTGAAACGAAAGCAATTTCTCTGCCAAATCAAAAACTTTCTATGTGCAGGAAAAGCAATAAACATGAGAGATCCAAGTATGATGTCTGTATTGAACACCTTAAGAAGATGTCTACATTGTGTGTTCTCATTCATACATCAAAAGCTTCCTTCCACTATATGCACATTCTATCAGCCTTTGGTTTTTTAATTTTTTAAAGATTTTTTAATGGCTGGGAAGTGCACTAACTGGGAATCCAGGCAGCCGGATAAAAGCCAGTAAGGCAATCTTTTTCACCTCATTAAATAAAGCGAGAGGGAAGAAGGATCTTGACTTAAAACAAATAGCCTTTTGTCCTTCAGGTTCTTGCTGTGGTGGATTTGGAAAGGACTTCTTTTTCCTCAGCACACTGTTGTTTCCAAATAATGTTCCAAATATGTCTGTGTCCTCTCTCCTTTAATGATCTAATAACAATTGCAGCTCAGGCAGCAACTGCTGACATGTTCCATTTCTACAGAGGTTCTTGAGATAACCTGACCAGATCCTTCTTCCTCGTCTTTGGTATATTGCAAAAAGAGACGAGTTAGAAATAAAATTGGGAGAATGCTTTCATGCGCCACCACAATCACAAAAAGCACTCTGTTGGAGGAGATTTTTTTACATTCAGTTGTATCACTGATGCTTACCCAAGTCCAATACTTTAAAATACTACCAGTATTGTTTTATCTGAAATTTAACTTCTAGCAATACAGAAGGATTTAGCATTTGTTCTGATATTTCATACATCTGTAATTCCTTTAACCATTTCCCCAAAAGAAAAGATTCTCAAGGGTTCTTACTACCTTTAAAGTGATGAAGCAAGATATTTATTTTGAGTTTGATATATTGCAGTCATCTTTTCATAGACCTGTAAACACTTTCTGACATGCAGAAAGGCTGAATAAATGACGGCATAAGCTCTCCAAACGACTGCGAATTAACAAATTGAGGGAATTGGAATACAGAGGAAGAAGGGAAATACTTTTGAATATTAATAAGCAACATACCATCTGTCAGAGGTATCCTGTATTTATGTCACATCTACTATCTCTCATCCTTTATTTATCAGAGCAATGGAGTTTTCAAAGGGATCTTGCATATGTAAAGGAATTAGGACCACTGTTTTGATTGCTGCCTGACAGACTTATCTTTTCCTGTGTTGATGAATAATAGAATATATGAGGGACTTTCTGGATCATCTATACAGTCCAACCCTCTCTTCAGTACAGCATTCAATTAAATCATCCTTGGAGGATAACTAACCTGTCTGAAAACCTCCAGCAAAGAGGAATTTACCACTGTTCTAGGCAGATTCTTTTACTATGTAACAGCTGTGCTGGTTAGAACAAGGATTTAAGGCCACTAGGAAGAAAGGCACATAGGATTTAAAAAATAAACCAACCAGCAGCCATCCTCAAACCTTGTAAAATTATCTAAAACTAAAACAGAAGTAACACTTTCACAAGTGCTTGTCCCAAAGCCTATAACTGCAACATAGTCAAATATAAGACTACTACAAATTGTTACCAAGAAAGAAAGAAAGAAAGAAAGAAAGAAAGAAAGAAAGAAAGAAAGAAAGAAAGAAAGAAAGAAAATCAATTGATGTAGCTTTATAGGGGAAAGAAATCTTTAAAAATAGGCAGAAATAATTTCCTGTTCAAAAATACAGAAAGAAAAAAATAAATTAAACTGCTCATCAAATCTCAAAATGATAAAATGGACACCAATGATTATAAATAGAATCATCCTACTAATAAAAACAATTCTCATTAGCACAATTAAAATAATATTTACATAGGTGGCAGAGCCAAGGATTCTGGGTTGCATAATTTCAAGTGGCAAAATGGTTTCTTCCCCTCTCCTATGGATTCAAGCAAGACAAAGAAAACTTGCACCATTTCCAAAACTATAAAGATTGAGAGTGCAGAGGGTGATATCCTGGTGGAAAACTTTTAACAACAAACACACACACACATACGCACACACACAAAAGAGTGTATTTGCAATTGTGCTCGCAAAAGAAAGTAACAGTAGCTTGTGAGGTATTACCTAAAGTATTCCTTTAAAGTTGAAAATTGAAATACCAATTTCTCAATGCCCACCATCTCTCAGTAAAATTGAATCTAGACAAAAAACAAAACCCAGTATGTCTTTTCTCTTTTAGTTCCAGTCTTTTTAGAATGATAATCTTTTTCCTAACCAATAGCTATTGGTTAATAAACATTCTGAAATTACCTTGATTCTCTCCCTGTCCAAAGAAGCTACTTGGGTAAGCCAAGCCGTCTCATATTTGACTGGCATTTCCCTTCCAGCCATGTGTAATTTCTTTTGATCAGGCTTAACAAAAGTGAGCATTCATGCAAACATTGCATGGCAACTTTGTATTTTTAGTGAAGACCTCCTTTTAGTAAACTGGATTCTTCTTCAAATGTGCATTTTTTAATTTTTCTATATGCCTAAGGGAGGGAAAAAATCCACTGCTGTACTTCTAGTCTTCAAAGGAAGAGATTTTTCTACTGAAATGCAAATACAAGATTATTAATCTTAAAGTTTTTTTTTTACAGGTCTTGCATATCTTCTTCCATCTGTACTGTCTGGAGTTTAGCCAGCTGTTTCTTGTCTGTCCCCAGTTCTTCACAGATGGCATCAACTATATTGCTAGTAACATATTTGATTTTGGGATCCAGCATCACCGAACTGCTTCCTGATCTGCTTTCTGAATCAGATAGAAAGTTTTCCTTTAGAGTGGGAATGGACTGCAGGATCAGCCGCTGTTCTCGAGTGAAATGGGGGTGTCCTTGCAAAGAGGGGTGGGATCCAATGTCATTGCTTGCTACCCCACCGATCCCTGTTAGCGCTGCTTGCACTGGAGAAATGGACACCAAGTCATGGCTGCTGATGAGGGAGCAGTTCTGAAGGGTTGCATAGTTTGCATTACTAATGGAAACAACAGTCGGCCCGCTTGTTGTGGGGGGTTGCATTGGTGGGCTCTCAGAAATGGCTGGGTTGAGTTCTTCTGCATTTAAAAGGGAAGGTGGTCCAAGGGAAAAGTTATGCGATATAGTCACGTTAACTAAGGAGGAGGCTCCTCCTGGCTGGAGGACCCCATTGGGTAAGTTGTCTGAAGGTAGATTAGCATGGAGCTGGGCATTTTGACCAAGGGGCATGACTTGAGAAAACACCAGGCTAGTTTCCAGTCCTTCCTGTTTCACCGGCTCAACTGGCTGGCTGGTGTTTGGGATGGTGTACACCACAGTGCTGGGAGCAAGGGAGCTGAAAAACACCTTCCCTTGTTGTGCTGTTGTAGAGTCAGTAGTAAATGTGCCATTGCTTGATGTGCCTTGGTTAATGGAAAGGCTACCTGTGGTGGGAGAGGAACAAACAAATAACAACAAGAGAAAGTTTTAAAGGTACAGTACAAAATTAAGTTAAGAATTCAATTTTTATTTCCCCCTGTGGTTTTAAAACACGACTTCCATCCATTAATCTCTACTTAAAAGGAGGGGAAATTTTTGCTATTTTTGTACAACATTCTTAGACTCAAGTAGTTTTCGTTTTGAGGTGTGACCCATCCATTGGCTATTTTAATATTTATGGTCGACCATATTTTATGGGCATTGTTAGTACTGATGCTTCATTTTTTATTATATGCCACCATGGCTCCATATGGATTTGTTGGCATATATATTTAATAAACAAGCATGTGTTATCCTTGAAACTACATAAAATGTAAAGATCAACAGATAGCTTTCTCATCATATGAAAAACATTGTTTTCCATTTATGGTGGTTTGAGCAAAAAGCCGTGAATAACGAAATTGTGATACTTAATTCGATTTCAGAAATTTGTTTTCTTACCCTTTGATGTATCTTTTAAATTATGAAAAGTATCCAGTATTTATACATACAAGCATGCACACACAGTATCATTGGGATTGTGTGAGCTGCAGTCAAACTTGACAAGACACCAGAATGCAAATTCTATTCTAATGAAGGATTACTAAAAATACTAAAAAAGCTAAGATCTTAATAAAATAATGAAAAAATGTATTCTCCCGAGATGAGCTGTGAACACAGGATATATGGAACTATTGGTTTCTTGTTATATTCAATATTATATTGATTTATAAAAGAGTGATGCGAAGGACAATATAATCCCCTGAAAGTTATTTAATTATAGCATCTCTGATATCAAGAAATAGAGTTGTTCCATATCATTAAAATATGGAAAAAGTTGTAGAATTAAAATAGGTTGATTTGTTTTCCAAATTCTACTGGAATGAAAGTTGCCTTTCGTACATTCCTACCTCCTGCTGGCTTACATTTCTCTACCTGGAATAGACTGGGATTGATGGAGCTCAACATGTCTACAGCAGGTAACAAGTTCTCCATTATTACAATAGAGGCAAAGATCAAATAGTCAATTATCATTGCTTGCTATGAATTCTGGTAGTTGAAATCCATACATCCCAAGGTTAAGAAATGCTGATCTAGGTAATATAATCTACTCCAAGTAGCAAAAACTCTTCAAACTTTCAAGCAAAAAAGCTCTTTCCCATGATTTCCTCATGATTATTCTAGCTGAAGAAAGAAGCCAGAGGACCTTTGCATATAAAACATGTGTCCTATTGATGAACTATCAGCATTTCTAGAAGCTGACATTTGAATCTAGGGTAATGTAGTGGTTAAGGTGCTGGCTTAGAAACCAGAAGTCTCTGAGTTCTAGGCATCCCCTAGGCAAGAAAGCTGGCTGGATAACTTTGGGCCAGGGTGCTCTCTTTCAGCACAAACTCGTTTGCCACCTTGAGTTGTTCTACACACATACACTAATAACAAACTTTGCTTGGAACTTACTTCCTGTGACAATACATTTAATATTACTGAACAACATCTGCATACCCCAGATCCTTGGGAAGCACAAAAATGCCACATCTAGTTTAAATATGCAGCTAACTCTACAACCAACCATGCAGTTCCTGATCAATGAACATATAGTCCATCGATCTAGTGGTGATTCTAATATTCAAAATGCAAACTGATCACAATAATAATAATAATAATAATAATAATAATCAACCATGCTTTTCTTGCAAGCTTTTGTCTATTTGTGCAAAGCCCATCTACGGCAGCCTTAAGGATTAATTATAGAATTATTGCTCCCAGCAATTGAGAGACTTTTTTGGAACTGTAATTAAATTCTAACCAATTCCCATAATTGCTGGGGGCAATAATTCAGTGACCCTGGAAGGCCACAAGATACAAATCCTGCCTCGAGCAAGGGGTTAGGCCAGAAGACCTCCGTGTTCCCTTCCAGCCCTATAATTCTATGTCCTATAAACACACAGATTATGAGTTAAACTCTTTTTTTCTGAATACCTTCAAGATATTTTTTTTTACAAATTACAATGGTGAAGCAGGAACTATTTAGTCATGTTTTCAAGGTCTAGCAGCATATGGGAAAATGTGTTTCCATCCAGTTATTGCTTTGACCTTGGCCAAAAGTATCGGAGCTTCAAATCACAGCTGATGTGGGGGATAAAGTCATGTATCTTCATCCTAAACACTGCTCTCATGATGTATTAAAAACATAGGTTATGACAGAGGTGTACGGCTTACTTCACTAACATGGGACAGTAAACCAGTGGTAAAGTTCAAATTTTTTGCTACCGGTTCTGTGGGTGTGGCTTGGTGGGCGTGACAGGGGAAGGATATGGCAAAATCTCCATTCCCACCCCACTCTGGGGCCAGCCAGAGGTGGCATTTGCTGGTTCTCCGAAATACTCCAAATTTCTGCTACCGGTTATTAGAACTGCTCAAAATGTCCGCTACCAGTTCTTCAAAACCTGTCAGAACCTGCTGGATTTCACCCCTGCAGTAAACACTGTCAACATTGGATACTTAGTGCAGAGCTCAAGAAGAATCAGCCATGATATACTGTATAAATGGAGAAGATAAATATGAACGTATGCAAACCTCAATGAAGTTTCAGGAAACAAGAGAGGTTGGTGAGATTTACAAGAGGCAGTACTGGTATTAATAGTACACAGTTTATCTTTCTCCATGATTATCAAATATAGGATTATGCAAAGCAGTAAATAAATGCAAATTCACCCTTTACACAAGGGTGCTTCAGCTGTTCATAGGAAATGTTAAGAGCTTCAAAGTCATCTCTAGAGGGACTGGCTCTCAAATAAGATATTATACATAAATGATACGTAAGTGAAACTCGGGAAAATTGAGCCAATGTCAACTAAGGCAATGGCTCTCAACCTTTTGAGCACAGAAAGATTTTTCCGTGGACCGGAGGGGACATGGTTTTGCATTTTGCCTGCATCCTGTGGATGGGGCTTTGCTTGTTTGAGTATAGTTGCTGGCATGCCACAGCCCAGTGCCAGTCCACAGACTGGGGGTTGAGGACCCCTGAACTAGGGATCACAGTATAATGATTAGATGAGGGGTCTGCAACCTTAAACACTCAAAAGACCCATATGGACCAGTTTCCCACAAAAAAACACTGGGAGCCACAAAACCTGGGTGGGCGTGGCCAACTCAATGTCACTCCCACCCAGTCACATGATCTCCCCAGCCATGCCTACCCAGGTTTTGTGGCTCACGGTATTTTCTGTGGGAAATATTCTCTCTCTCATTTCTGTTTTCCTCTCTTTTTTCCCCTCCCTCCCTTACTCCTTTTCTTTCTTTCTCTTTCTTTTTCTTTTTCTTTCTCTTTCTTTTTCCCCTTCTGTCTCTCATTTGTTTCTTTCTCTTTCCCCCTCTCTCATTCTCTCCCTCCAGCTCTCTCTCATTTCTCTCTCCCTATCCCCTTCTCTCTTATCTGTTTCTTTTTCCTCTCTCTCATACTCTCCCTCCATAATTTTCTCATTTCTCTCTCTCTTTCACCCCCTCTTTCTATTTCTCTCTCTGTCTCTCACCCATTCTCATTTCTCTCTCTTTGTGTCTCTTCTTGCTATCTTGGAAAGCCGAGGCTGGGCCGAGCGAGCTCTCCTTGGGGCTCTTTGCTACTCCTTTTCTTTCCTTTTGGCGACTTTTCGGAAATCTTGGGGTGACTGAGGAGCAAGCTCAAGCCTTCCTCCTCCTCCTCCTCCCACGACCCACTGGCCAACTGATGAGGGGCCTGGGAGAGCACGCATGAGCAAGGATAGCCTCAAGTGAGGGGCCGGGCTCAGCCAAAGTGCAGCAAAGGCACGTGGAGCTGGTGGGTTGACCGTTTGACATCTTTTGATGAAGGTGGTACGGCTTTCTCCAAGCAGGGCAGCGGGAAAAGGGGGCTGGCCTCACCAAACCTCACATGCACACCCCAGGAATCAGGCTTGGAGAAAGCTGGAGCGCACGCACCAAAGTCGCTCGCCCGTCAGCCGCTCAACCTGCGAGCTCCGTGTGCCTTCGCTGTACTTCGGCCGAGGCAGGCCGCTGGCATGCGCCCTCCCAATGTCACAATAGCTGACCAGGGGGTTGCATCAGGAGAAGGAAACCACCACCGCAGCTTGTGCTCTCTCCTCAGGTGCAGGCCTGGCCCGCTTTCCGTCGTATTCACTCCTGGATCCCATTTCCACCCTGCCAGCCCTTGTGTTAGCGAGGTTGGCATCAGCCATGGCCGGGTTGGGCCAGTGTCTCAGGGTGGAGAGCAGGTTGTGTGACTAGGTTGGCAGGGAGCTGCAGGAGAGGGGTCAAAGAGCCACATGCAGTTCAGCAGCCACAGGCTGCTGACACCCGGATTAGACTGTAATCTGTGGTGGTGCAGTGGTTAAAATGCAGTACTGCAGGGCTAACTCACACTCAACTCCAGGAAGTCGATTCTAAACAGCTCAAGGTTGACTCAGCCTTCCATCCTTCCAAGATTGGTAAAATGAGGACCCAGATTGTTGGGGGCAATATGCTGTCTCTGTAAACTGCTTAGAAAGGACTGTGAAGCATTGTGAAGCAGTATGTAAATCTAAGTGCTATTGCTATTTTATACTCACCTAAAAGCAAGATCACTGAAAAATAACAAAACATTACCAAATAGAATTGTATAGTAATAGCAAACTAGTGTGCTATCCAGACCATCCTGGCTAAAATCTTATCTACCAAGGATTAAAGTAAAATCTACTACTGGTACTACTCCTAGCAGTTACAGTCTGTGTCTAGCATGTCTGTATTACTTTCTTGGCAACATAAGTGATTACTTTTTTTCAGGATATTTTTTTTTCAATTTCCCAATCTAATTTTTATCTGATAATCTCCTATCCTAGTACTAATGAGCTCTGATCCTGTCCAGCTCTTTTGTGATCAAATATGGGCATGCAATGGAAGGATTATTATACTGCCCCACCATGCATAATTGTAGGGATTTTATGTGATAACTCTGTAAATTAATCTGCTTTACATTTTAATGTAAAGTCACACTTCCCAAATATGAATATACAGTATGTAGTACATTGAATCTGTCAGTACTTACAAATTACAAACATGTAAGATGCAGCTTCCCAATTATTAAAAAAAATGTTAGTACATACTAAATATATGAACAGAAAAACTGGTGGAAGTGACATTTAAC